ATACTAGAACTGAATATATGTATAAAATATTAACAGTGAATGTCCATATATAAATCATGAATATCTTCTCTCAATTGCATATAATAACATCACTGCGTTCCACTTCTTGGGATACTTCACTCCCAACCAGACATACATAGTGATGCACACCACCATTCACCACTGCACTCACCTACAAGATTGGACCCGTGTTGTTACAAGTCTCAACTGCTTTTTCCCTGGTTTAGGAGTCCTTCCAATACCTCTTCCATTGCTGAGGTGTTAACTCAAGAGATGTTTAAACATACGACTCATATATACCCATACGTGATGGTCTGACCCTTTAACCACATGCCGCCCTGCCACTGTAGAAACACGGTGGTAGGGCGGCTCGGCTGGGCAAAACCACGTTTTAAAACGTGTGTTTTCAGAACAGGTAGGGGGTGCGCGCGAGGTGCCCCGCTGCCCTACGTGTCCCGCCGATCACGGCCGCGGATGTCAGTCGCTGAGTCACAGCTGGTCGTTACCGACTATGTCCCGGCGATTAGCGGCAATCACTGACAGAGAGCACAGCTGCAGTAGCTGTGCTTTCTGTCAGTTCCCTGACAGCTCCTGACATGCTGATCAGGACAGAAGAGTTTATCTGTCCAGATCAGTGTGTCTCCATGCAGTACCCCCCCCCCCCAGTAAAACACTCCCCTCACACAGTTAACCCTTTCACTGAATAATAAAGTGAACCCCTTCCTTCCCAGTGCCATTAGTACAGTGTCAGTGTTTTTTTTTTTTTTTTTGCACTGATCACTGTATTGGTGTCACTGGGGATGTCAGTGACCCCAAGTCAGTACCCCCCAATGTCATAATGTCTACCGCAGTCCCGCCATAAGTCACTGATCGCCACCATAAGTCGCTGACCGGCGCCATTATTAATATAAAAAAAAATAAAATCCCAGTATCTTTCCCGCCATTTGTAAACGCTATAACTTTCATGTAAACCAATTTACACGTATTGGGTTTTTTTTTTTTTTTTTTTTAGCAAAGACGTCGCAGAATGCATTTTGGCAGAAATTTATGACTAAATTTGATTTTTAAATTTTTTTTTTACTGGACATGTTTTATAGCAAAAAGTCCAAAATATTGTTTTTTTTCCTCAAAATTGTCAGCCTTTTTTTTTATAGCGCAAAAAATAAACGCACAGGTGATCAAATACCACCGAAAGAAAGCTCAATTTGTGTGAAAAAAAGGATGTAAATTCCATTTATGTACCGCATTGCATGACCGCGCAATTGTCTGTTAAACTAGCGCAGCGCTGTATAGCAAAACAATGGCGTAAATTGCAGTATCTATACCATAGTTTGTAGACGCTATAACTTCCACGCAAAGCAATCAATATACACTTATTGGGATTTTTTTTACCAAAAAAACATGTAGCAGAATACATTTTGGCCTAAATTTATAAGTAACTTTGAGTTTACTATATATTTTTTATAGCTGAAAGTAAAAAAATATAATTTTTCTTAAATTTTTGGTCTTTTTTTGTTTATAGCGTCAAAAATAAAAAGCGCACAGGTGATCAAATACCACCGAACGAAAGCTCTATTTGTATTAAAAAAAGGATGTCAATTTTGTTTAGGTGCAGCATTGCATGACCGCGCAATTATCAGTTGAATTAGTGCAGCGCCGAGTAGCAAAAAGAGGCCTGGTCATTAAGGGGGGTAAATCCTCTGGAGCTCAAGTGCTTAAAGCACAATCACTTCTCCTTTTGTATTAGTTGCATGAAGTAAAAAAAAAGGTATTCCTAGTGTAATATGTACACATAAGATAAGTTTATTATAGGAATGCACTTACAAGTGAAGAAGACATGTGATGACACGAGTCTAGGCGGTGCTGGGAGTCGATGTTATTGGAACCAGAGATGACATGGGAAGTAGCCGCTTCGCTTGCTTGTACAAGAGAGCCGAAAATGGTACGGGAGTGAAGTCTGCAGCTGCAGGAATCACTGGTGTAAGTCCAGTGATGTATGGGGAGTGGTTAAACAAAGCCACCAATTAAAGGCCAGAAATAGGGGGAGCTGTCTTAGATATTTTGCTTTTAACCAGATATTTTAGATTGCTCCTGCCTTCATTACTGACAAGCATGCTTCAGCAGGTTAACTCTGCCCCTGCATACTTTGTTTCAGGTCAGTGACTTGGGTTAGGCCAGCCACCAACCTTTCATATTAAAAACAAGGTAACAGCATTTTTAAAGGGGATAATAGGAAAGTGAAATATTGATAATGAAGTAAGGAATGCTGGGAGCTCCTCTTCTGCTGCAGCACATCCATTCAGGTTCTTGCGCAAAAGCTGTGACTCCACCTTTTGGTGATCAGAGGCTGCGTCAGGGCCTGGTGTATGCAACTAGAAATGTCATATGTATGAATCAAGTATTACACCATACATGTTGTTTGGGGAGGGGGTGGGGTAACCAATTAGCTAAAATACGAGAAAACATTTGGCGGGGTCTCTACAGACAGAGGTCTTTTAGGGGCCTGCCCTGTAAGCAGCTTTGGGCCCAGATAAAGTACTGGATGTGCCATGTGTGGCACTGCTAAGCAAAACAATGCCCTGGACAAAAAAGCCACCTATCCACTTAGGGCAAAGAGACAGCGCCTCCTGATAGCCTCAGCAAGGTATACTTGCCCGTTTATCCCTACACCCTCACCAAAAGGTTGGATATCATAACCCATGCAGATGTGACAGTGGGGCAGGTGCGGTGATCATGCCTGAGCACTTTTACATATCACATGTGAATATACTTTGCTGAGCTACCAGGCGGCACTGTCCTAAATGGGCAAAGTGATTGTAAAGGGTTAAGGTTTTCTACCTTTATGCATGAAGGTAAAAAAAACCTGTGAGCAGCAGACCCCCCCCCCCCCCAAATACCTACCTGAACCCCATCTTGATCCAGCAGTGTGTGTGAGGGCCTCAGCTGTCCCAGATCTCTCCTTCCTCATTGGCTCCTCTGTTTGCTGTGGGGGCACTGGCAGGAGGGTGACGCCAGGAGTGCTGGTGGGGGACCCTAGACGAGGAGAATCAGGACTGGTCTGTGCAAAAACCATTACACAGAGCAGGTGAGTATGACGTTAAAAACACACCTCTGCCTTTACACTCACTTTAACCACTTGCCAACCGCACTATAGCTGAATGATGGCTACAGCGTGGTTGTCCAGTTCTGGGAGGTCGTCATATGACCTCCTCCCACTGTTCACATAATGCAGTAAAAGGCCAATCACAATCGTGTCCTTTTACGTGATCACCTGTGTCCAATGACAGCACATTACAGAGTAAATACAGTTGCCGGTTATCTGCCACACTTTCCTCATGCAGTGTGAGCAAAGTACTGCCGATAACCGGCAACTGTCACAGAGCAGATCAGTGCCTCTCAGTGTCGCCAGTCAGCGCAGCCTCATCAATGCACATCAGAGCGAGTGACGCATCAGTGAAGGAGAAATATTACCTGATTGCATAATTTTATAATAGAAACAAGACATTTTTTTTTCTTTACTTTCTTGCTCTTTTTTTGTTTATAGTGTATAAAATAAAACACCCAGCAGTGATTAGATTCCACAAAAAGAAAGCTCTATTTGTGTGAAAAAAGATAAAAATTTCATATGGTTACAATGTTGCATGACTGCGCAATTGTCAAAGTGCGACAGCACTGAAAATTGGCCTGGGCAGGAAGGTGGTAAAAGTGCCCAGTAGGCAAGTGGTTAATCTATATTTTTGCAAACGTGGGGCATCTCAAGAGGTTTACTTCCTCCCCAACCACTCTTCACACTGAGCTCTATTGTAAATGGGGTCTGAAAGAAAAAGTGAGCATAGGATGCTGGTGGGACTCCTACTAAAAAAAACCTGATATTAAAAGAAGGCCTCTAAGGTGGGCTGTCCTCAATATTTTGTTAAGACCTACAAGCATGCCTCCTTGTTCCAAAGCCTTCAAGTCGAGTACAGCAAGACGGGCAATTACCATTTTCAGAAATAGGATGAAACGTAGCAGCCATAGGATACGGATCACTGCTAGTGGCTAGAATAGCGCTCGCAATAATCGCTGTGTTCTCTGGCAGGGACAGCTCCCCCTTGCGGGAGAACAACAATTAGCCGTTTTACAATTAGCTCTTGTTTTATACAAAATGTAGAAGGCTTTTCTGTCCTCTGTATATTTCAGCTTTTGTTGTAGATACAGATTAAAGGCAATGCACCAGGTCCACTGTAATGCTCTTGTTTCCTCACACTCCCTTTCCTTCACTTCTGTAAGACCCCAGAGGTGCAACAAGAGCCCCTTCATATTGTCTAGAAATAAAAAGTCAGAGCAGTCAGGCAGAGCTCATTTTTCAAGCATACAACTCATTGCTTGTTCACCATACTGAAGTTAAGATAGAACCTCCATCTTCCAAATACTGTATTATTCCAAACTGACCCTTTTAAAGGATGCATGTTTTATTTAAAACCAAAACTGTAAAACCAGAACCTGAAATAATATTGCAACGTACAGAACAATGAAAAAGATCCAGAAACGTGGCCCTCACTTGTACTGCGTGAGCCCCTGGAATGTACTCAACATTAACAGAACAGGTGATGTTGGGAACACAAACGTGTCAGTTTTCTCTCTTCACAGTTTGATAGATGATGACTGAATATGAAGCAAGAGGCTGTCCAAAGTTCTGAAATGGCTTGACAGAAACCTAGTCTTTCATGATCAGCCTCACGCATATACAAGGCATTATATATAGAAAGAGCTCCTACAGCTTGTGCTGCAGATAAACAGTTCCCTTTGCGGAAACATCTGATACTGAACAAAATCACCCACTGGGGGGTCACGTAGAGGAAGCGTATGTGATGCTGAATGTGCAAAGTTCAATCTCCACGCAGCAGAGCTCCTGACTGAGGCACTTTTTCGCATGGGCGAAGGGTAGACAGAATCCAGATTCTGTCCATGGAAAGTCTTCCAAACCTTCATAAGCATTACCAATCCTGTTCACCACCAGCTTACAACCGGTTGTCTCCACTCAGGCGCGTCTTCCGTGGCACCCTGCAACAATAAGAGAAAGAATAGTAAAAATCTGAAGCATCAATATTTGCTCAATCGAACCACAGCAATGGCAGGTATTGCACAGAACAGAGCAGCAAGGTAGGACTGAATGCTGATTGCTGGCAAATCTTTCAAGTGAAAGTGTACCAAAGAATGCATTGCTCAGAACATTGTATTCAAAGGGCTCAATCCACAGTTGCTTTTCTCTTAAGCTGGCCATAGATCAGCAATTTTTCTTTCCTGCAATCTGTGAAATCGCTTGATTCCCCCATTGGTAGAAGAATCCCTCCCGCGCAGCCATTGTGTTCTCCTGGCGGAGACTGCTCGTCCTGCTGGGAGAACACAATGATTACTGCTAGTGGCTATAACAGCTGCTAGCAATAATGGCATGTAAAATTTGACAGGCTGGTTGTACCAAAGTACAACCCATGGTTCAGCTGTGATTTACTATTCTGTGCTCTGATTGGCTCACAGCTATGACATGGTACAGGGTGCTGTGACTGGCCCAGGTGGAGTATGATAGCTGTGGGCCAATCACAGCATCACTATAGGAACCACAGCTCTTTTATATGAAATTGTTGATATTGTGATCACATGATCCCCTGGCAGATCAAAGCAGCTGAGTACCAGGAGCCACAATCCACTGTGGCTGGGCGGCAAGTGGCTATGAAGTAAGACTGCATCAAAAGTAAAGAATTTTTTTAAATGTGTAGAAAAGCACTATACTACTATATGAAATGGCCTTGTACTGGCAGTACATTGGAGAGTAGGACCGCTGTCATCAAACAGTGCAGCGATCTGGGTCTTCTTCAATCAGACACCCCCTGCACAGTGCTCCAATCAACATGGCTCACTCCCTGAACTGCACTGTTGACTGAAGCACTGTGCAGGGGGTGACGTACTACTGTGCTTTGTGAGATAAAATAAAACATTACCAATCCTTTCACATCACAAAGATGGACATTATACTTTCCAAAGGGCTGGTCTCGTCTGTTGGTAGCTGTGGCTTGCTCTAACTTATTTGTTCATTAACACAAAATGAAGCGCACTCTATACATGTTCCTATACACGTTCTGAAAGGCTGCCAAGTCACTCAGCAATGACTAGACTGGACCTTAAACAAAGACTTCAGTGAGAAGTGCACAAGAACTGATGGATTAAAATGCGCAGATTTCAATTTCAAAGACACAAGTTGACATCAGTTTTCATTCGTGTTTCAGTGAGTTTTTATACTAGTTGTAGATTTGTGTGCAGAAAAAACTCAAGACGAAATACTAGTCGTGTGAACAGGGCACATAGAGAACATTTTTTTTTCTTTGCACCCTTGTAGAATTTGTGCAGAAAAACTCAGGTCTTTGCACCATGGTTTCTAAGGCTTACTTATTACTTGCTAAGAGCACCTGTCTCTTGTTATAACGTAACAGCACACCTGTGATGTGTGAAATCTTGATAATGTACTCTGTACCCCAGAAAAAGCAGGGCTCTGTTCAAGCCCCTCTCATACACTCCTGTTAAGCAGGTACTAAGATGGTCTTCCTCACCAACCTATATTGAAGGGAAGAAAATGTGGGATATACTGAAAAAAAAAAAAAAAAAAAAAAGCAGATGTTGCCCATGGTATTTGGTTAAAATGCTTATTAAACTTTTTCAAAACGTTTAAATGTGGGTGTGACAAAGGGCACAAAGAAGCTATCCATGAGAAAGTTGGGATGGATGTAATAACATACAAAGAGCTGGTAGACACAAATTTAGTTATAAAAAAATACTATAAGACTTTTGCTCAGTACTGTATATGTTTTCAGACAGGTGTGAAAAAATGCAGTAAATTAAAGTGGCTCTAAGGCCTAAACATTTTTTTTTACATTAAAGCGCTTCTCCAGTCTCCCCCCCCCCCCCCCCCCCCCCAAAAAAAATTAAAAGGCAGCAGCTGTAGGTGCTGCCTTTTAATATAGGGACACTTACCTGTCCAGGGTCACCTGAGCCAATTTTTCAAACCACCTTCGGGTCCTGGGGTCGGCATCTTAACTAAGGGAAACTGGCAGTGAAGCCTTGTTGTTTTATAACCGGTTTCCCACTGCACATGTGCATGCTGGGCAGCGCTTTTTGAATGGTTCCGCAGTCTGCAAGAGTCCTGCACTGTGTCCCAGAAGGCTGCGGGTGAAGGAGAGGGGACAAACTTGCACTCGGACTGTTGAAGCGATCCAACTGCCAACTGAAAGTTGGAGCGGGTACCTGTCAAAACCAGGTCCCCCCCCCGTCCCAAAAAGTGCCAATTGTTAAAAGGGAGGGGGGAGTATGCAAATAAGTAGAACATCCCCTTTTGGGTAAAGTTCCACTTTAATGCATTCCTTTCATTAAGGTAAAAAATGTTTGCCATTAGTATTGGCCCCTCCAATCCCCCCTACTTACCTGAGACCTCATTCAAACCAGCGCTGTGCACATCTGAAGCTCTTCTCACTTTCAGGTCTTAGCCTTTTGTGGGGCCGTGGGAGCCATTGGCTCCCACTTCAGTCAAACAAAGCTAGTGACAAGGGAGTGGGGGGTGAGGTCGGGGCTGAGTTCTGTTGTCTGTGTCAATGGACGCAGCAGCAGGGCTTGGGAGCGAGCCTGCATGTATGCCCCCATGAGAAGCAGTGTCCTATTGGCATTAGTCAGAAAGGAGGAGCCAGGTGCGCCAGCAGGGGACCCGGGAAGCGGAGGTTCAGGGCCGCTCTGTGCAGTTTCCTTTACAACCACTTTAAGATTGCTTTCAAAAATGGTGTGAAAAAGTGGTGTTATTTTATTTTTAATCAATTAAAAAAAATGTAAAGTCAAATCCATATTTGGTATGACTCTTTGCCTTCAAAACAGCATCAATTCTTCTAGGTACACTTGCACACATTTTTGAAGGAACTCGGCAGGTAAGTTGTTTCAAATAACTAACCACAGATCCGCTATGGATGTAGGCTGCCTCAAATCCTTCTGTCTCCTCCTGTCATCCAAGACAGACTCCATGATGATGAGATCAGGGCTCCGTGGGGACCAAACCATCACTTCCAGGACTTCTTGTTCTTCTTTACGCTGAAGAGATTTCCTAATGACATTGGATGTATGTTTGAGGTGGTTGTCCTGCTGAAGAATAAATTTGGGGCCAATCACATACCTCCCTGATGATATGGCATGATGGATAGGTATCTGCCTATATTTCTCAGCATTGAGGACATCATTGATCCTGACCAAATCTCCAACTCCATTTGCAGAAATGTAGCCCCAAACTTGCAAGGAACTTCCCATCATGCTTCACTATTGCTTGCAGATACTCATTGTACCGTTCTCCAGCCCTTTGGAGAACAAACTGCCTCCTGCTACAGCCAAATATTTCAGATTTTGATGCATCAGTCCAGAGCACCTGCTGCCATTTTTCTGCACGCCTGTTTCTTTGTTTTCATGCACAGATAAGTTCTTAGCCTTGTTTCCACATCCAGATAGATTTGAGGCAGCCTACATCCACAGCAGATATGTTGTTAGTTCTCCAAGATGTTTGGAACAACCTACCTGCCGAGTTCCGCCACAAACCGTGTGAAAGGGGACATAGAAGAATTGATGCGGGTTTGAAGGCAAAGGGTGGTCACGCCAAATATTTTGATTTGGATTCTCTTCTGTTCATTTACTTTCCATTTTGGTAATTAATACAAAAATAAACTATTAACACTTCTATTTCTAAAAGCATTCCTAATTTACAGCATTTTTTCACACCCGCCTAAGACTTTTGCATAGTACTGTGTATGTATATATAAAGTTTTTTTTAGCTTTTGGTTAGCACAAGAGCCAGGCAACTAGCATTTTCAAAAAGTCAGCAAAAGCAGGCTTGTGGTTCCTCTCATGCAGGTTTACCTTGAAGATACACTATAAAGAAAATAAGATTTTGCAGTTAAAGTGTATGTCAATCCTAACAGTGAACTTCTCTTACTTGCTTTATTGATAAAAACAAAATCCTAAAAAATAAAAACGAATGCAGCCACCACATCTAAGGACTGACAAGCTGCAGTAAAATAGACATTTTCTTTTGTTTAGGTTAACCTTATGCAGGTTAGTTGGGATGTATGTGCATGTGTCTCTTGGTCTTACCGCCTCTCTCTCTCAAAAGGATCCGCCAATTCTTGTGAGATTCGGAAATCTTCTAGCTGATGTGCGGGGAATCGAGACTCTCCCATTCCATCACGTAATCGACCAACTGACGGGTCACTGATCCGCTCACGGGGCGCTGCTGCACCATTAATTTCACCGTTCTCTTGCTGAAATTTATTAACCAAATATTTTTTCTATAGTCAAGATCCGGGATTACAGCAAATCAAACAGACTTGAATACACTAACTCACATAACCAATCTGATCTCATCTGATCTTCACTGATCTCTGATAAGCCACTATGGATTGAAGTCAATATTCTCTAATACATTATCTATCCAAATGGGAGGTTTGGGGGGGTCTACAAGATACACCAACCTTCTGCTCTGATGCAAAGTCATTTCTACAGTTATTATCAGGGAGGATGTGGCTTTGGATAAAGTGTGAAGTCTATTAAACATGACACATCCATAATAGACCAAGTCTTTGTCACTGAAGGAACAAAGTACAGTCTACCCCACTGTCTCTTCCTACACTGCATCTATCACAAGGGTCGAATAACTGAGTTCATCTTTGTCCTAAGGACCAGTTCACAACACAATCCAGATGTGTTTCTGTATGTGCGTTTAAGTTCATTTTTTCCCCCTCTCTTTTTCTTCAACTTAAATATAGACATGTACGTTTAGGTGCGTTTTTTTTATGCATTCCAGAAAAAAAAGTAGAACATGCTGCTTTTTCTCTGAACTGTACTGGAACTGACCACACTGGTGTGAACTATGCCATTGGAAGCCATATAACCTACTATATAAGAACAAGAAAGGCAAAGTGAGCGCTACAATGAAGCTGCTGTGACACCAAAAAGGTACCAAAAAACCTCCTAAGTCAATAATAAAATAAAGTAGGTGCAGCGCTGAGATCCAAGAAATTAAATAGAATTAAAATGCTACATAAACAACAGAATGCAGAATCATTCAAAATCAATTGCCAATGCTATAAATAAATAAAAAAGTGCCAATAGTGCTATTGGTGACCATAAATTAAATCATGAGATATAAAGTGACAAACAGGCTTGTGTAATGATAATGTACAAGTGATCAAGTGTGTATGAATCTGGGAGAGCCACTCAAGGTGGCTACGGTGCTAATAAAGTGAAAAGTCCAATAAGTGATCAAGTTTTATGAATCTGGGGAGAGCCACTCAAGGGGCTACGGTGAATAAAGTGAAAAGTCCACTAAGTGATCAAGGTTTTATGAATCTGGGGAGAGCCACTCAAGGTGGCTACGGTGCTAATATAGTAAAAAGTCCGAAAAAAATGAACGTGGGGATCCGTCAAGAGATCTCAGTATAGGTGGTCCAGACTCCTATCTCCAATTCATAGGTGGTATATCTGGTAATAGAAAATTGCACACTCACCAGATGCGCAATATAATCACGCATTTGAGAACACAACTGTTTCATCAGGTCAGCCAGATCCTCTTAAAGTATGTACAGCTTGGGTCACGGTTACCTGTCTGGATCCTCCGTGGGTAACAGCACATCTATCTTTCTCTTTAAATGGCTCTGGGGGCTGTCTAACAAAGCCTCCTCCAACAGCAACTTATCCACAGCAGGCATGTCGTCATTTTATTTTATTATGTAACCTACCAAAGCATTTTTGATGCAGAAAAATAATGTACTGGACTGCATGTAGTGTGAACTGACCCTAAAAGTGATAAACTGCACAGCAATTAAGGTCGCTCACCTTGCTGGAGTAGATTTCTAAACGTATGAGCAGGGATGCCAGCTCCAAGTCTTCAGTGTAATTATTCTTCAGTGGAACTGATCTGTATCCTGCAAAATACAAAAATTACCTCCTAAATGACCTTGCTATGAAAAGCACACGTAGAATGTCCCCGTCTCCTCTCCACTGTACCTGTTTTTAGGCCGCGGACCACAAAGGACGCCTGGGCTAGAAAGTTCTGATCACTGAACATGTCCTCCTCATAGACCACGAACCTCAGGAAGGCAAGCTCTGGGTTGGTAATAAGAAACTGGAATGTCTTCTGGGGCCAAACCGGGTTCAATCCATTATCAACTGGTTTTTAAATAGAGATCGTTATTGAAGGTACTACAAGGACTTTCTATTCTGGTTCAGACAAAAGTGGTTAGAGCTTTTTCAACATATTATACAGGATTAATAGTGCGACAACCATTGTGCGGTGCTTCACAAAATTAAAAGGAGAGGGTTATGAGGACCCTGCTCGAAAGAGCTTACAATCTAAACATATCTGAACATTCAAAATATTAGACCTTTATTCAAACAGTGCCTGCAGATTCAGCAGAGGTGATATGCTAGGATAAAAAAAACTAAATATTTGCCTTTTCGATCGTATTTTATTCAACAAAAATGTCAATAGATGTAATGGTGAACTGTGGGAAAGCAAAGTACAACTTTCGGAAGCTGGTTTTGCCTCCTTTATCAGAAATGACTTCTTGTAGGCGTTTTGTACAACTACCCACCAGGCTCTGAAATTGACTTAGCGAAATGTCTCACTACTTTTCAAGAGGTTTGTGGTTTTCTTAGCATGAACTGCTGGTTTCAAAATCCCCCTACAGAATTGCAATTGGGATCAAATCAAGGCTGTGTGTATGGAAGCCCATAATCCTCCATTTTTTTGAGCCTTATTTTTTTCCTTATTGGATTTGCTAGTGTGCTTCAGATTATTATCGTACTGACAGACTCATTGCTGGTTCAACTTCATCGTTTGGACAGATGGCCTCACATTCTCATCATGCACACTTTGATATAATGCAGAATGTATAGTTGACTTGATCACTGTGAGCTTCCCAGACCATGAAGCAGAAAAGCAACTTCAAACCATAACATTTCCACCGCCATGCTTCACAGTTGTTATGAGGTTTTTCTGCTGAAATACAAGTCTTCAGTTTGTGGAAAACATTTCCACTGTTACTGTGTCCAAACAACTATCTTTGAATAATCAGCCTTCAGCACTTTGTTCTAAAAGGCCTAGTATTTGCCTGTAGGTTTAATGGCAAACTGTAGCCTTGTTCTAAAGTTATTTTTAGACAGTAAAGACTTTTCTCAACATATCTCTCTTTAGCATCAAACACTCAGCTCTTGGGTTGAGTTGAAGTTGTTGGGCTGACCAGTCTTGGGCAAACTAGTAGTCGTTTGAAATCTACACCAAATTTTTAATTTTTTTCCCTTACAGTGGAATTGATGTCAGATAATTTGGTGATGTTCTTAAATCCCTTGCCAGACTCCTAGGCATCCACAGCTTTCTCTTTCTGTGGGCCTTGGAGAGCTCTAATGATCTTGGCATGATGACACCATACATGTTAATAACAGTTGCAACACTAGACCCTAGTTTATCTTGGGTTTAAAAGGACAAGTAGGGCCAAAGCTCTTTTGGGTCTACTTCTCCTGTGGGTCAAAGGAATGCACTTTGTTCTGCACTACTGTGACCCGGTTTCAGCTGACAGCGGACTAAAGCCTGGTGTCAGCTGATGTCACAGACCTGGTCCAGGCTCTGGAAGAGTCCTCACCATATTATTGGCATCCACCCCAATTCCTGATCGGCAGCTGGCTGAGCCTTTCAGCACCACGCTAAGGACATGTGCCAGCTGTTCCTGCCCCCTCCACAGCCCGATTATCCAGTGAACACTGGAGGGGCACAACAGAAAGCCATCACTCACTGAAGACCATGAACCAGTGATCAGCGGTCTTTTTTCAATCAATTCTCAATGTTGAGGCGGCATTGGACAGATGCAGCATCAAATCAATGCTGCAACCACCTAGGTGAGTATAGATTTATTTTTTTTTTAATCCCAAACTTCTATTTTAAATATGACAGGTTATACATGCACACGCTCCAAGGAGGGGGGTTTTATAATTGGCACTTAATCTAGAACACCCAATGTCAATTTCATGAACTTGAAGTGATGGTAAGTGTACGGTTGTAGTAATTACTTTTTCCATGTGCCACATCTGCATTTTCTTTAATTAGATCATGAAAATGAATACACCATGTCAATTTTATGTGTCATTTGTTCAAGTATATCACCTTTATATTTAGACACTTTTGATCTAACGTTTACCGTGCAAATACAGTCAGGTCCATAAATATTGGGACATCGACACAATTCTAACATTTTTGGCTCTATACACCACCACAATGGATTTGAAATGAAACAAACAAGATGTGCTTTAACTGCAGACTGTCAGCTTTAATTTGAGGGTATTTACATCCAAATCAGGTGAACGGTGTAGGAATTACAACAGTTTGCATGAGTGCCTCCCACTTGTTAAGGGACCAAAAGTAATGGGACAATTGGCTTCTCAGCTGTTCCATGGCCAGGTGTGTGTTATTCCCTTATTATCCCAATTACAATGAGTAGATAAAAGGTCCAGAGTTCATTTCAAGTGTGCTATTTGCATTTGGAATCTGTTGCTGTCAACTCTCAAGATGAGATCCAAAGTATATTGTATATTGAAAAAGTCAACCATTTCCACGGGGCATATTTTCTTTTTCATATGAATGGGTACATATTGTGTATAAAGCATGTCAAATGTTCAACCTAAGCAATGCGATTTTTGGAAAGGGGGGTGGGAGGCAGTGGTGTTGCAATAGTAATCACACCAGTTTTAAAAATAATAGATTTATAAATCGTGTGCCTTATATCAGCGGCACACAGCTGCATTGTCAAATAAATCTTCTCTGTCAGGGTGACGTTCAGAGCCAAAGTGCCTCGACCTAAACACAGATCTTGTCCTTTACCAGAGAGCACATATCCTGCCTGCATATATAAACAATCATTCCACACAACCTCTTAAAACAGAATCTATACACGTCTACAAATAAAAAATGTCTGTCATTTTGATTCGTGCACTAAATAGCAATCCAGAACGTTGATGGCTCACCTACAAATTCTGTTTTGGTCTTGGCATTGTCATATTCGGCTCCACAGATCTCCACCTCCACAAATGGGCACACAATACCTCGACCGTTCTTAGGCAGATGTCTGGCACCTAGAATCTGAAAACATAAAACAGATACGTTCAACCGGCTCATATTCAACAAAGAGCAAAAATGTATACAGTCTGCTCATGTGTACGCAACAGCATTTCTATAATGGAACAAGTGAACCAATACCTAGGGAAGCTGAGGGCCGCACCAAACCTACAGATGTATTGTGATGGCTTCTACCTCATTTTCTCTCCTCTTGACTTGTGTGGCTAAATTCTGCAATTTTGGGGGGAAGGTGGGGTAATGAAGAGCCAGAAGGTTCACTATTTCTACTTTCCCTTGTGTGGTATTCTGTACAGCTGTTCTGCATATAAAGACTCCATGGGGTTCCTGTTTTCTATGGGAGATGTTGGAAAACCTATTCATGGAACATCGAGCAGTTATGTCGCAAGTGTTTGTTCTCAAATAGACAGTTAATCCTGCACTCCTAGAACATTAGGAGCAACACTGGTTTCGGTGCATACTAATATAAGGCCATGTACAACTAAATTAACCGCTTCCCGACCAAATCACACACACATATATATACACACACACATATACATATATATATGTGATTCGCGGTGTAAGCGGGCCGGGTGGAGGGTGCCGTGATTTGATCCCCAGTGATGTTTGACCTAAATCAGATGATCGATCCCGGCCCTATCAGAGATCTTCCTGTACCTGTGTTTACACTTACACAGGTACAGGAAATGATGACATAGAAAAGAAGCAAGACACAGTGAGTAAAAGCACTACACTTTCACAAAACACTTTTAAGACACATTTAACCCCTTGATCACCCCCCCAAGTTAACCCTTTCACTGCTCTGTCACCAGTGTCATTAGTACAGTGTACAGATTTTTTTGCTGACCACTGTATTAGTGCAGACTTCAGATAGCTTAAGCGTCAGTTAGCACCCCTCCCAGATAGCATCAGATTGCTCGTTAGTACACCAGTAATCACATTTAACCCCTTGATTGCCAGGAACACGCTCACATATACAATAAACCTCCATTACTAGTATAGTGTCTGAACGGATCAATATCTTAGATCACATCAGCACTATACCAGCATTCACATTAGTATAGTGTCCCCAAAAATGCAGCTTTAGCGGGATCAGCCCCGGCACCTGCCAACACCTGCCTTTAGCCCCTATGCTTACACCCCCCCCCCCCCCCAGCAAGTGCAGTGTCAGTAGATCACTGTCGCTTGATACATTGTACACAAAACCACAGTGTTTGCAGAATCAGGCCTGATCTCTGGTAGCACTTGCCGGTAAATTTTTTTTTGTAGCGGTTCCAGCAGTCCCTGACAGCCAGGTGCTCTTTTTCCCGTGAGTCGCACTGGGTACCTATGAATTTAGAGGCCAAGCTGTCAATGGAAAGGTACTCTAGTGAAGAGGCCTACAGGATTCTGAGCATGTCAGGTGAGAGCGAAGGGAATGACTCACTGACACAATCAGCCTCAGAATATGAACCTGTAGACAGCAGCAGTGCCCTGACAGATAGTTCAGACGATGGGGAAGAGGTCCCTGCTATGGTCAGGCGAACCAGACCCCATTCCCAGGTTGCTGAGAGGTTAGAATCGCATGATGATTCTCATAGGCAGCAGAGTGCCAGTACTAGTGTTATGCAGGCCATAGATGGGTTGAAAAACTGCCGTTTAAAAAAAAAAACAAAAAAATCGGTCGTCCAATAGGCTGACGTTACCACCAACAGGTAAAAAAAAAAAAAAAAAAAAAAAAAAAAAAAAAAATCGGCCGATTTTTGTCCCATCTACGACCGGCATTTAATTACTTCTGTCCCTTGCAGAGAGCTCCGCTATATTTGACATTAAAAAGTATTGCAGTTGCAACATTGTTTCTATTTGTATCCATTTCGGATGCAGATGTTTTTATTCGGATACAAATAGATACATTGTTGCAACTGCAATACTTTTTCATGTCAAATATAATAGCGGACTGGAATTCTTATTCTTCTTTTTTCTTCTTTTTCATCATCTTCTTTTTCTTGCAGGTCACGGCTCATGCGCAGATTTTTTATCGGTAAAAAGATCGGTTGATTTGCTCATCATTGCCGCAAAAATCGGCCGATCGGCAAAATCGGACAGTTTTTTTTTCCAACTTTACTGATAAAAAAAATGTGCCAAAATCCAGAAAAACGTCCGACCAATTAACCCATTAACAGTGCAAAAATCTGCTGATTTTTGACCCATCTATGGCCTGCATAACTCTACCTTTTGGTGAACTGGTGAGCACCAGCAGCCTAGTACATCCTGGTCTTTCACATACCAGCACTGCAGTATCACTTGGTGACTTGGCGAGTCCCATAAACGCAGTACAAGCTGGTGCGATGGCGAGCACAAGTAGTGTCCTGCAGCCACCAACAATTCGCACACAGGCCCGTAGAGTCCCTAGCATCCTTCCGGATGTGCTTGCAAATCCCGATTGGCAGCCCACAAATTCTGCAGCACCCGTACTTCCCCCATTCACTGCCCAACCTGGAATTCAGGTGGAAACAGCAAATTTCACTACTCCCCTTGATTTGTTGGAGCAGTTTTTCACGGAAGATCTGTATGCATTGATCGTGGATCAAAGCAATTTATATGCACAACAGTTTATCGCCGCCAACCCAAATTCAAACCTTGCCAGACGATTCGCATGGAAATCCATTCCGGTTTCCAAACTGAAAGTTTTTTTGGGCTTAACCCTCAACACGGGCATTGCTAAAAAAAAATGAATTACGATTGTATTGGTCCACAGACCCAATTCATCATATGGCCGTGTTCTCTGCTGCCAAGTGTGATAGATATGAGGACAGATAAACGCCAAGAATTACAAGAAGCTGTAGGGAGGATGTGTATGTTGAGATGTATGGGGGAGTGGTCTGACCATAGGAAGTGGCCAAGGGAGGCGGAGATAGGGGAGTCAAGTAAAGATTGAGAGATAAGAAAGTAGTCGATACGGCTATAGGAACCACGAGCAATGGAAAAATAGCTGTAATCCCTTTCTGTGGGGTGTTGAACGTGCCAGACATCCACTGATTGCAAATCATGTAAAAGTGATTTAATTTGAGCTAGTATGGAGCAGGAAATAAGAGGACTTAAAAGAGGAGGTATCTGTGGAAGGGGATAGGGCTACATTAAAGTCACCACCCACAATGAAACAGGGACCACCAAATGAGGATAACTTAGCGAGGGTCGCAGAGAGAAAGTGCCCCTGGTCCTGGTTAGGTACATATATGTTCGCCACCGTAAAGACAAAGTTCTGGTACTTCAAATTAAGAAAAATATAACGACCAGAAAGATCTATGGAAGAGTCCAAAATCTCAGGGATGAAAGTTCTATGAAAGGCCACCGACACCCCCTTAGATCTAGCCTGGTGGTTGGTGCTGTGATGCCACTGGGTATAATAATGGTTACCTAGTACTGGAATGCTATCTGACCGGAAGTGGGCTTCCTGGAGAAATAGAAATGGAGATCTAGCTTTATGAAAATGGTACAGTGTCTGGCTCCGCTTCTCTGGGGTATTAAACCCTCTACAATTTATGGAGGAAAGTCTAACTTGGTTATAGACCAACATAACAAAATAAAAAAGAGGGGGTCTCAAGTAACTCCCCCCCATACACGTTTCGACTGCCACAGGAAAAAAGAAGAAAAAGAAAAAAAAAAAAAAAAAGGGGAGGGGGAAGGGAAAGAGGAAAATGATGGGAAAAAGGAAAAGGAAGATATAGAACAAGTAAAGGTCAGAAAAAAAGTGGAAGAGAGGAAAAGTAAAGGTCACAGGAAAGGAAGGGAGAGGAGAGAGAGAGGGTAGGATCGCCAACTCCACCTTCACACTCCCCCCCCCCCCCCCCCCCATCAGAGATTGCTTCTGTTAACATTCTGCTAAAACTTTGTGAAATAGTACTGCTTGGACCTTGAAGAAAGGGACATACCCCGAAAGCTTGTCCTGAAAATTGTATGTTAGTGCACATAAAAAAATAAAGTATCACAGACAGTACTTAATTGTTTCTGAAAAAAAACAAAAAAAAAAAAACAAAAAAAAAAACACCCTTGCCCCCTACATTGACCTCGTGCCAGTATGTAAACAGCAGTTGCGCAATGCATGTGAGGTATCGCCGTGAACATCAGATCAAGGGCAGTAATTCTAGCACTAGATCTCCTCTGTAAATCTAAAATGGTAGCTTGTAAAGGCTTTTAATGCGTTGCCTATGGATATTAAAAATGTATGCAGTTCATCGCCATTGCACGGGGCGTGCGCAGTTTTAAAGCATGTCATGTCTGGAATCTACTCGGCATACCATCATCTTTTATATTTTAGCAAATAATTGGCCAATATATTGATCTGATTGTACAAAAGCTCTGGAGCAACTGCACTTGCAAAGTACATGGCCTATTTGCCTTTAGGAAATCCACCCCAGATCCACATTTGCAAAATGAGAAGTAGCAATAGCAGCCCTATGTCTCTCTCAGGAAAGGCTTCCTTTAACTCAGGGGTGTCCAACCTTTTGACCCTCCAGGGCCACATTGGAAGAAGAGGAATTGCCTTAGACAACACATAAAATACACCAACAATAAGGAGAGCTGATGAGCAGAAAAAGTCAGGCAAATCACAAGTTAACGATCACTGATATAGACAATGTACTTATCTGATTAATAAATCTTCATTTTTTTTGTAACATATTTTATTATAAAAGTAAGAGGGCAACATAAAACTAGTGTGATATTTGTGATAAATGCATCAATATCTGGTTCATGGATGTAGTAGGAATTCTCAAGGTGCTCATCAGATACTTTGGTTCTAAATTTTGCCCTTCTTGTGCTTCATCCTTGAAAATAGTTGCTCACAAATATTGGTGCTGCTGAATACTGATGACATGAATAAGGTGCGATTGTGAAGAGTGGGATATTTTTCTTTGGGATGATAGAACTTATAAAAGTTCACTAAAGAGACACTGTAAATGTTTCCTTCAGCAGCATGTGTTCGCCAAGTGTAAATGCATTTTTGCAAAAAATGGCAAAAAAAAAAAAAAAGAACAAAGTTTACGATCTTGTGTTGGGCCGCATTTATAGCTGTCATGTGGCCAATGGGCTGCAGGTTGGACAACCATTATTTAGCAGTTCCTGTATAAAATGTAGTAAAAGGTGTTGCAAGCCCCTCATCTTTTTCTTCTTTCTCAAAAGTGTACAGGATCAGGGAGTGACCATGACGCCAAAGGGTTTATCACACGGTGGAAGGTGCAGAATAAAGGAGTGAAAGTTTACTGGTACTGAACTGGCCTAAAAAGAGCAAAAAGTAACAACAGATCTGAAGTGCAGTTCTTTGAGGCACGCCGGCACTTCAGCACTGTTGTCAGCTTACGCACTTTATAGGTCCAGTTAATTTTAAATGAAGCAATCTTGTATCTTACCTCGACACAGATAACAATTGGCTCCAATGCACGGACGGAACATTTGTCGAATGGGTCAAATACGTCATCACGCATACAGCTTGGATGCAGAACATAACCGCAGCGACCTCCCGATTGGAACAGGGCCTGGTTCATCTGCATGGGCTTATCTGAGGCAGAAAGGTATAGTCATGTGGGATGTGATACACAGCAATATAAATTTAAGCTTTTAAATATCTCTCTTTCACTGCCTGACCCACTTTTTCACATTTTACACGTTAAAATCTGCATTTTTGGCTTGAAAATTACCTAGAATATACATTTTCTGAAAACCAGAGGACCTGTAGAATAATTGATGGTAACTGCAATTTTTATATTTGCGTATATATTTATCAAACCTATCCTTTTAGCAGACAATAAGCTCAAATTAATTTTGGTGCACAAAGACATAACATACCATATTTTTCGCTCCATAAGACGCACTCCCCCCCCCCCAAAAATAAAATGGGGGAAAATGTCTGTTCGTCTTATGGAGCGAATATGGAGCGGCCGGCCTGGTATTCCCACCGCCATCATGTTAGAATACTGGGCGGGACACTTGGCCCTTCTGTGCAGTCCTACCTGCTTTGGTCCAGCAGTGTCCTCACCGTCTTCTCTCCCTGGCATCGGCATCTTTAGTGTGGGCACCCGGCCGTGACAGCTTGCGGCTTCACAGCCGGGTGCCCACTGCGCATGTGCAAGAAGCGCTGCGCTTTGTGAATGGTCCGGCAGTCTTCTGGGACCGGTCATGTGTCCCAGAAGATGGGGAGGGAGGACAACTCCGAGGAAGTGGGAGCGGGTACCTGTCAAATTCGGGTATGCTCCCCAAAGGTCTGCAGTCTCTAGTCATCTCCTGTAAAATGTCTGCAGTCTCTGGTCATCTCCTGTACCGTGTCTGCAGTCTCTGGTCATCTCCTGTACCGTGTCTGCAGTCTCTGGTCATCTCCTGTACCGTGTCCGCAGTCTCTGGTCATCTCCTGTACCGTGTCCGCAGTCTCTGGTCATCTCCTGTACCGTGTCCGCAGTCTCTAGTCATCTCCTGTACCGTGTCCGCAGTCTCTGGTCATCTCCTGTACCGTGTCCGCAGTCTCTGGTCATCTCCTGTACCGTATCTGCAGCCTCTGGTCATCTCCTGTACTGTGTCTGCAGTCTCTGGTCATCTCCTGTACTGTGTCTGCAGTCTCTGGTCATCTCCTGTACTGTGTCTGCAGTCTCTGGTCATCTCCTGTACTAGGTCTGCAGTCTCTGGTCATCTCCTGTACTAGGTCTGCAGTCTCTGGTCATCTCCTGTACTATGCCCGCAGTCTCTGGTCATCTCCTGTACTAGGTCTGCAGTCTCTGGTCATCTCCTGTACTGTGTCTGCAGTCTCTGGTCATCTCCTGTACTGTGTCTGCAGTCTCTGGTCATCTCCTGTACTGTGTCTGCAGTCTCTGGTCATCTCCTGTACTGTGTCTGCAGTCTCTGGTCATCTCCTGTACTGTGTCTGCAATCTCTGGTCATCTCCTGTACTGTGTCTGCAATCTCTGGTCATCTCCTGTACTAGGTCTGCAGTAGGTCTGGTCATCTCCTGTACTAGGTCTGCAGTCTCTGGTCATCTCCTGTACTAGGTCTGCAGTCTCTGGTCATCTCCTGTACTAGGTCTGCAGTCTCTGGTCATCTCCTGTACTGTGTCTGCAGTCTCTGGTCATCTCCTGTACTGTGTCTGCAGTCTCTGGTCATCTCCTGTACTGTGTCTGCAGTCTCTGGTCATCTCCTGTACTGTGTCTGCAGTCTCTGGTCATCTCCTGTACTGTGTCTGCAATCTCTGGTCATCTCCTGTACTGTGTCTGCAATCTCTGGTCATCTCCTGTACTAGGTCTGCAGTATAAGGTCATCTCCTGTACTAGGTCTGCAGTCTCTGGTCATCTCCTGTACTAGGTCTGCAGTATAAGGTCATCTCCTGTACTAGGTCTGCAGTATAAGGTCATCTCCTCTACTAGGTCTGCAGTCTCTGGTCATCTCCTGTACAACATCCGCAGTCTCTGGTCATTTCTTGTAGTATGTCTGCAGTCCATTGGTTCAGAATATTTTTTCTCTTGTTTTCCTCCTCTAAAATCTATGTGCGCCTTATAGTCAGGTGCACCTTATGGAGCGAAAAATACAGTAATTCCCAATTTCATAAAACAAAAGATGAGACTATTAGGTAAACAATTACCAACTACCGTATATCAAGCTTTAAAGCTGTCCATAGGCAACATTCCACAAAAATCTGTACAGGCGTGCCTAATACAAGATGTGCAGTCATCATTTATGCATGCAGGCTCTACGCTTGTGTTTGCATTCATGTGTGTTTAATGATTACATTTTATTTTATAGGATCTTTTTTAATTGCTGTCAAAATGAAGTAGAAAAGCCCCGCATTTATTTTGAGTTTTGGATGTTCAAACGGCAAGATCTCACTGCCACAATTCTTGGCTTTGTTTCTGTCTACCTGGGAGTTTTGATATCTCTGCCTACCATTTTGAATTTCAGACTTCTCCCATTACTTTCGCATGATATAAAAAATCCTAAACGGAAAAGCGGGCGCTTTCACACGCTCAATGGGTCCCAACAGCTACCAAAAACGGAAATCTCATTTTTGAGTGGACTGACCCTTTTATTACAGCCACCAGTGAAACAAGGCTTTCACAGCTGAGCTCATAAGGAATTCAAGAAATACCAGGGAGTAGATACATTCCTGCATGTATGCCAAATACCAACATCTTGGTGTCTCCAATGAGCAGCCATAATTCAAAATTGTGAAATCTACGGATACCTTCTATGGCTAATACAAAGATTCTATTTGGGAATATGCATAGAAAAATAAAACAACAATAGTCTCTAGTACAAAGACCCGGTGTAATCCCTCCCTTCCACAGCTGAGCTGCAGTACAAAAATCAAGCTAAAGGTTTCTTCAAGGACAACCTCCTTTTTCCAAGCACCAAATGCAGTCATTTTGATCAGTCATCTGTGTGTCTGAAACCTAGGACATCAATGAAGATCAATGGATGGATAACTGAATAGCAGTGTTGCAAAGCCCTTGGATAGCAACTTCGGTCAAAATGGATTTTCTGTTTTGTGTGGAGTAGGACAAGATTCTAATTCCTCCCTTCCTCTAAGGCAGGGGTCCTCAAACTTTTTAAACAGGGGGCCAGTTCATGGACCTCCACACAGTTGGGGGCCGGACTATAGTTTGGAAAAAATATGAACAAATTCCGATGCACAGCGCACATATCTTATTTGTAGTGCAAAAAACAGGAAAAAAACAAAATATTTAAAATGCACTGTAACGCACTGGACACCACAATGCACTGTACTCTGTATCGCACACTGGACACCAATATGCACTGTACACTGTAACGCACACCAATATGACACTGTACACTGTAACATGCACTGTAAACGCACTGGACACCAATATGCACTGTACACTGTAACGCACTGGACACCAATATGCACTGGACACCAATACACTGTAACGCACACTGGACACCAATATGCACTGTACACTGTAACACACTGGACACCAATATGCACTGTAATGCACTGGACACCAATATGCACTGTACACTGTAACGCACTGGACACCGCAATGCACTGGACACTGTAATGCACTGGACACCAAAATGCACGGTACACTGTAACACACTTGAAACCGCCATGCACTGTACACTAACACACCGGACACAGCAATGTACTGTACACTAACGCACTGGACACTAACACACTATACTCATACACTGGACACTGCAAATGCACTGCACACTGTAACGCACTGAACAAAATGCACTGTACAACGCAATGCACTGGACACTGACACAGCAATGCACTGTACATGGTGTGCGCTCCTCCTCACCTGTTGCTCCTCTGGCTGCAGCAAGTGAAATCCTGGGCTTCCACTCGCTGGGTCCTCATGGTCGAGGACCCAGTGAGCAGCCTAGCTATTTGCTGGCTGTCTGGCTGGCTGGCGCTGCCCCCCCCCCCCCCACCCTGATTTTTTTATCTTTTCCCAGCTGGCCCGATAAACATCTTTGGCACGCCATATCCGGCCCACGAGTCGTATTCTGAGGACTCCTGCTCTAAGGGAAGAATCCACTAAAAGCAAAGAAGTCTAAACTCGAATGAAATGTTACACACCTGGAGTTTGGAAGTTGAGTGCTACCAACTGGCTGCCACAAATCCACATGGGCATGGGGTCATAGTTAGAGGAATCCAAACGCTGGCCTTTAGGGTAGATGCGGGACAGCTGGCGCCGGTTGTACTGCAAAAACTTTTTGCCTTTTTGCTTGTTCACATATTTCTCAGCTTTGGTCTCAGGAAAGGATGACATGTCCCGATAGCATGCCCTCTCTGTGCCGATCTCTAGGAAAGAACAAGAACCATCAATGTTATAACTGACATACTACTTGTACTGAGCCTCATGTATGAAATAGGCAGCCTTCAACTGTGAGGTCTGTCATTCAATCTCTTGAGGTGTGATAGGAAAATGTGCTGACATATGTCAAGTTTTGATATAAATGTAGGTTATGTGGCTTTGCCTTCTAATTATTTAATGTAAAAATGAGTATAGCGGTTACATTTAAGGCTACATATTACTGGCCTGATAAAGGGATAAACCAGGCAAGGCCTCATATGTTATTACAGGCACATAATCATGCCTTAGTAAAAAAAAAAAAAAAAAAAAAAAAAAAAAAAAAAAAATAAAATCGATTGTAAAATACTGGCTTGCAACATAATGACATGTTATATCAGATATATAAAAATAAAGGCCACTTACTTTCTTCATCAAAAGGCACAGGTCGGCAATAAATGACAAGTTCAGAGAGTTTCCAGGGCAATTTTCTTCCTGCGTTCCATAATTTTGCCCTCTGTGAGCTAATAAAAAGATGATGTAATAGAGAAATAAATATACAGAAGACACAGCAGAGATAAAGAGCCTAAACTACATCTCCCCACTACAGTCACTGATGGCAAACACCCCGAAATCTGAACCTCAACCTCCCCTTAACACTGCTTCTTGTGAATGCAAACTACAGGATAATCACCCAATGGCCATCAGCAACACAGACCATCCAACCTTGGTGGAGAACAGAGAGAGATGGAAAGAAATGCGTTCATTCAACTTACCCGCGCATCTGCTGTTTGGGCTGCTTCTTTGATCTTCTTCACCCAGTCAAGCATATCATCTGCAGAGTCCGCTGCCACATCAAGTGGATATCTTGTCACGGATGGGACATTTATAGAGAAGACGTAAGGACGATTGTACAGACCCTCATGGCGAATAGCTGGATAAAGGGGGCAGAGGAAAAGAAAGAAGTACTTACTAACTGCAAAATCTCCGGACCACACTCTAAATGAGTTCGGGTTATACTTTAAAGCCCAACAAAACTTTCCAGGTGCATTAACCACTTGCCTACTGGGCACTTATACCCCCCTTCTTTCCCAGGCCAGTTTTCAGCTTTCAGCGCTGTCGCACTTTGACAGTTGCGCGGTCATGCGGCATTGTACCCACATGAAATTTTTATCATTTTTTTTCAAATTTTCAACTGCAACTCAGTTTATAACATTTGTATCATGTGGTTTTTCTGGATTTTTAGTTGATATTCTGTCTCTATCATTTAAAATACACCTATGATAAAAATTACAAACCTTTCATTTCACTGTAAGTGGGCAAACTTACAAAATCTGCAGGGGATCAAATAATTATTTTCCCCACAGTATTGTTTTGATTCACCTGGAGTGTATTTAGGGGACTGAAAGCCCAACTCAGATAAAAACTATCCCTTGTAGTGGGGCTGCATCCGCACTGCAAGGGTAAACTGCTCCTTTAGTCTAGGGGAGAATTTTTGCACTTTAACTTACCCAATCCTCTGCTCCCCTCAAGCACTGATGGTGAACTGTCCTTTGTCATCGACCAATGCAAAGCTATGGACCCTGCATTGGTCTTAGTGAGGTGAGGATTTTAGAGCATGGGGGAAAAGACACTGCAGGGACTGGTCTATGAGTCTGAAGGTGCAAAGGACTGGGTAAGCCAATCTTTTTTTTTTTTTTTTTTGTCCCCTAGACTTTAACTAGCAGTTAACCTCTGCATTTTACAGGTTTTTATTCATTCTCTACCTTTAGTGGTTAACTGGTAGTTCATTTGATTTGTCACTAACCATTATTTTCAAATATATTAGTTACATAGTTAAGGCAGACCATACATCTTTTTGTTCAACCAGTAGGTTGAACAAAAAAAAAAAAAATTTGTGCAAATTCCCACATCCGCACTTTCAAGGTGGATGGGGCAATCACACTCCTGCTGTGCTATTGTGTGCTCACCCCAAAAAGCCTTCCTCGCCGTCAAAACACAATGATCAATGTTGCTGGCTATAGCCTGTGGCACTGATTGTTTTTTTTTTTTCAAACAATGCAGGGTGGTTGTACAGAATTCGATTGACAGATTGACTTCTGTACAACCAGGGTGTCCAGATATGGATCGGAATTCAGCCAGTCCTTGCTGATCCGGCCAAATTTTGATCCATGTATAGCCGTCTTTAGTAGAAAAGACACATATGCCCTTCATGTTCAGACTTATAACCTTCAAGTAAAATACAAACTTTGCATCCTCAGAGTCCTAATCCTGCAGCTGATTGAGAGCCAAGATGAAAAACAATATGAGAGTGGTTCAAGTTGCACCATCCATTATAATAGGCAGTTATATACTGTATATTGTGCTTCCAGCCTTTATTGTATATCATATGATATTCTGTGAAGTGACGTATGAGCTCCTTTATCTGACTACTCGACCGATAAAAGAAGGCATCAAACTTGCATTTTCTATGTCATCCCTGCTGTTTGTGTCAAGTCATTTATTACGCTTTTGGCCTTACACGTACAGGCCAACATCTCCCTATTATACAGAGGTATTTTTACCAATTTGGCAAGAAGGCACATCCAGTACTCCTCCCAGTAGGTCTCCAAGAGGACTGTTCTCATCCAGATGCTGTGGGAGTAAAGGAATATGTTTAGTATAGAAAACTATGAGATATAGATACTAGCAAGCTACTATTTCCAATGAAGGTTAAGCCATGCTATTCCAGTTTTTGGTAGATGCTGGAGGGTTTAAAGTGATTGTAAACCTTAATATGTTTTTGCTTTAAAATAACAAACATGTCATACTTACCTGCTCTGTGCAGTGGTTTTACACAGAGCAGCTCCGATCCTCTTCATCTCGGGTCCCCCACTGGTCCTCCAAGCTGCTTGCTATAGGGGCACTCGTGCATGCTCACTCCCAAGTTGTCCCAATGTGCCCCACTCTCCTGCTCACTGGCTACGATTGATAGCAGCAGGAGTCAATGGCTCCTGCTGCTGTCTCTGAGCCTATGAGGAGGGAGAGAGCCCCCTGCTCTCAAGCACATTGCTGGATCGAGATAGGGCTCAGGTAAGTATAGTGGGAGGTGGGGAAGGCAGGAATCCGGCAGCACACAAGGGTTTTTATCTTAATGCAGAAAGTGCATCAAGTTAAAAATCCTTAATCCTTTAGAACCACTTCAACCAATGACCATATTTGGAAGATCTGAGTTCCTGGGTTTGGTAGACAGAACACTTTGGAACATATCTGATTAATTTCAGCCGGACAGTTGGCCAGGTTATGGAGCCCTTTTGGTATCCAACCTGCTCATATGTCTACTACTTAACAGAAAAAGAGGCCGCGGTTACAGAGTTTCCTTCCAGAAAATACTAGTTGCCTAGGTGTGACATTGACCCCCTTGTGTCAAAATGTCTAGTCACAGAACAAGAAGCAACATATAGATATGGATCTCTGGAAGCCCCTAGGTCAGAACAGCCAGGCAACTAGTTTATCAATAAGCTGGCCAGCAGCAGCTGTCTGTTCTTCCCATGACAGGTGTATGTTAATGGACAAAAAGTACAACTATTAGAGCTGAAATTATATTGTTAAATATATCTGAAAATTCCCATTCATATGCAGAGTTGCAGTTTGCACTTTTAGTAGCCATCTCTCCAGTTTGAATCCTATCCGATTACCTGCTGTAACAAAAAAACAACACTAAACGGGACCAGCCACCTACACAGTATACCGTTTTCAGTGCATGTCTATGAACAGACTGGGATCTCCTGTCTTTCAATCCCTCTGTCTTTATTTCTAAATGTTATAAAATTACTTCTGAAAAAAATCTGTACTTACTGGGTGCTCAGGCTCTGGCTCGGGAAGGTTAAACATCTCCTCCACGTAGTTGGATGGGAACCACATCTGCTTTTTGCCTCCAAAGTCACCCCGCCACCTACAGAATAAAAGCGTATAAAAACACAAATGCTAGCTTTAAAAAGAGGAATTGGATTCTGAAAGCTGTGCCCAAAAAATGCAGGCGGGGAACAAAAGACTAGATCTATATTGCCTATTGGTCTCCCCACATCTGATCTTTTCCCTGTTAACAAGTTACCCTGCCTTGTTCTGCACTGTCTATGTAAAGGTGTCCATCTTGGTAGAGGCAGGTTTTTGCTTTCTTCATGTCTAAGCCTCCAGAAAGGAAACCAGCGGACAATACTCGTGACATTGCTAAATCTCACGCCAGACTTCCTGAGACTAGCAGTCAGAGGCAGCTGTGTCCAGGGGCAGACAGACTGACCATTTGGAAACTCGGGCACTGCCCGAGGGCCCGGGGTCAGTAGGGGGCCCTATGAGATGCCCCTGGTACCTTTTTCATAGGCTTTTTTGAGTTTGGGCAAGGACACAGGGGCCCCATAATCCCCTATTGCCCGGGGGCCCCATGAGTTGTCAGTCCATCCCTGGCCGTGCCTTAGATCTCACATTGCAAATATGCAGCACTGAGGCTATAAGCCCAGCAGGAGACAAAAGGTAGCTTTTTTAGGGTACTGGTTAGGCAAACAATAATAAATATTTCTAGATGCTCCCTATAAAAAACAGCAATTTTTTACTTTTTAAATTATGGTTAAAAAAATATATCAAGTAATTAAATTTGGTTGGTATAGTAAGCACCTAAAAGCATCAGCACATTCTAATTTCCTGTACAGCACTGAAAACTGGGAGACTCTGACATCTAAGTAGTAATAGTTCCTGTGCATGGCCTGAATGCTTCCACACATTATTAGTGGTCCCATCTCACCCCCTGCAGTCTCTCTAACCAATTGCAGGAAGTAGAAGGCCAAATTTGTGAATTAAAGCCAGATTTACAGGGCTCCTGAAGCACTTTCTCAAGGCTGAAATTTCTGCACTAATGCATGGAATCGTAGAAATAGAAAAAAAAAGTGTACTTTCTTGCAAATGGTCTGAGTTCCAGGTATGGCCCCCAAGGTTTTACTGAAGTTGCACAAATCTGGATGCACTGCTTCTTTTGTGGTATTGGGAAATATCAAAGAGTTGATTGAAGAATCCAATGTAAAATAATAAACTTTTTTAAGCTAAGAATGAAGAGCTCCATCACCTTTGGACACTAGCAAAAAACTGTGGACTCACAGGGTAGGCTAGGGTTATAGGGGGGCCACTCAGAAGGCATGTCCTCAAAAGCTTGCCAGTGTACAATCACCTACGGCCCTACAAGCCAGGGTCCATGAAAATCCAGCCCGTGGCCTGAACTGTAAGATTAAGATATATATTGCTTTCCATGGAATCTCTTGTAGAGCTCTCAAATTTGGCAATTCAGTTGATCATTGTTTGTAGATTACATTTTTAAAATCCAAAATAAGTATGGTAAAGCCTTGGCCAGGAAATTGCATTTGCATCTTAAGACCGTTCATATATCTGCGATCCATATTCCCCGATCTGTAAAATATATATGTCCACGGGCAATAAGTTTAAACTGCTAAAATTAAGACCTATGTGGCTCTCGGTCAAAAGTCACAAAAAAAAAAAAAAAATATATAAATGATAGGGAAAGAGCTTTAAAATGAAGAAAAACTATCATTTAAATGTTATAAAGAACATAACTGAGTATGTAAAAAGGAAATCAAATATGCAAAAATTCAAAAACAAAACGACAGACAGATTGCAAAAGATGCCCAACCAAACTGGTAAAAAATATAAAAATGAAGAAACACTATCATTTAAATGTTATAAAAGGACATAACCGTATATAAAAAGGAAATCAAAGATGAAAAAAATCAAAACGAACGACAGATTGCAAAAGACGGGCAACCAAACTGATAAAAACAAAAATAAAACACTACTATCACTTAAATTCTAAAGGCATATATTTAAAAAAGAAAAAAAACATGTCTATACTTACCTGTTCTGTTCAGTGGTTTTGCACAGAGCAGCCCAGATCCTCCTCTTCTCAGGTCCCCCGCTGCAGCTCCTGGCCTTTCCCCTCCTGTCAAATGCCCCCACAGCAAGCAGCTTGCTATGGGGGCACCCGAGCATACACACTCCCCAGTCGCTGCTCTGTGTGTCCATTCACACATGGAGCTGTGACTTGGCCCGCCCCTCTCTCTACTCATTGACTCACTGGCTGTGACAGACAGCAGCGGATAGCAATGGCTCCCACTGCTGTCTTAGCCAATAAGGAGAGGGAGTCTCGGGATAGCCAAGACTCCAGTGAACATCGCTGGATCGAGAGAGAGCTTAGGTGAGTATTAGAGGGGGCTGGGGGGAAATGCTGCACAGAGAAGGTTTTTTACCTTCATGCATAGAATGCATGAAGGTAAAAAACCTTGAGTCATTACAACCACTTTAAATGTTATAAAGAATATAACAGAGTATGTAAAAAGGAAATCCAGAATGGAAAAATTCTAAATGAATAACAGATTGCAAAAGACAGTAGGAAAAACCCAAAGAAAAAAAAAAAAAAAGGACAGGTCTGAGCATGTAGGCCCTTTACAAAATCTTGAGTGGGTGACCAGGGAAAAAGAGAAAGCAAATTTATTAAAGTGGTAGTAAACCAACTCTGTATATTTTTACCTACATGTAAAGCTTACCTGAAAGTAAAATGAATATCTTCTATAACATGCAGAGTTTAGGAGATATTCAAGTCTTTTTGCAGCCGGTGCATACGCTCTGAAGGAATGACATACCCATGCTGTTCCTTGAGAGCACTGTGCCGTGTCCCAAGACTCCCGTGGTAGTGACGTCATTGTGGTAGTGACGTCATCGTGGCCCAGCCAGTCAGATGGCCGGAGCTTGCGAACATGGAAGACCGGGTGAAGATGGAAGCCTCTAGCGGTGACAGCGTGCTGCTGGAGGGCTTCTATTTAAGTTTTACATAATGTGCTAGTATGCGATGCATACTAGAACATTATATCTTTACCTTGCAGGGTTTTTTTTTTTTTTTTCAATGGACATGGTTTACTACCACTTTAAATACATCCTCTAGCTCGGTGTATACAAAGGAGCATGGGGGAGCTCAAGTCCATAATGGGGATGATATTGACACAGATCCACAATAGCTCAAAATTGATATGAAAAAAGGGGAACAATATTGGACTGTGCCACAGATGTTACTGGGGATCCTTAACTAAAAGAAAGCCGCTAAATTCTTTTTAGTGGTGTCCCAAACAAGCATGCGTGAAAATAGAGAACATCTCTATCCCACCCCCACCATCTCTTGTACATATACCGTGCTATTAGTAATTATACCATGAATGGCATCTAATGTCTGAATATAAAACTTACATATATAACAAACATTTATATATAACTTGAAACTGTCTTATATAAGCAGCTTACAAATGAATGTGCAAAAAAAATTATTAAACAAAGTGCTTATGTGCAATAAATAATCAAATCATGCAAATCGTAAAGTCACTGTGGTAATTAAATTGCGTGCTCCAGCATAAAAAAAAGTCCACCAAAAATATCAAACAGCAAACTCCGTGTGTCTTCTTATCATGCACCACCTTAAACAATGCGTCTTCTACCACCAGATAAATTGGATAAACTCACCAGAGCTCCAGGCTGGTAATATTATAAACCAGCTGAAAACGCATGGACTCTGGGAGTAAGGATCTACAGAAAGAATCTCTCCTCCTCTCCGGCACTCTTCAGAGAACACCATAGCCAGGAATCACTCCATCTCTCAGACCCCTCTGCTGAACGCCTCGTGTTAACTCACATAGATACATGAACCAGGAAGAAAAGAGGAAAATCTTCCATTGCGTAAAACCATAAAAATTCTTCAGTAAAAAAAAACAAAAAACCTTCCATAAAACTCAAATTTTTAAGTGTCGCCACTGACACAGGTACAATCTCAAAATGGGATCGTCTCTGGACGCTGCTCCCAGCTGCAACCCACGACCCACCGTCCGTGGTGATGTCACATCCAAGCCCCGCCAACAGAGATGTGGTGGATTGCTTGAGTTGGAGGTGAGATAACACTGTTCTATAGTCTTCAAAATTCATATAGTCCAGAAATATGTAGACAGAATGAAAGTGAATAAAGCACCTGGACTAGTGAGGCCAATGTGGTGACAATATTTAAAAAGGGGTCAAAGTCTTTACCAAGTAATTATAGACCTGTTAGTTTAACTTCTATAGTTGGGAAGATATTGCAGAGTTTATTAAAAGACCACATCGTTGAGTTTTTGCTAGAAAAAAAAACGTAAGCAACAGACAACATGGATTCATGAAAGACAAAAGATGTCAAACAAATCTGATTTCTTTTTATGAGGAGGTGAGCAAAACCTTAGACAGAGGGGTGGTGGTGGACGTGGTATACTTGGACAGAGGGGTGGTGGTGGACGTGGTATACTTGGACAGAGGGGTAGCTGTGGACGTGGTATACTTGGACAGAGGGGTAGCTGTGGACGTGGTATACTTGGACAGAGGGGTAGCTGTGGACGTGGTATACTTGGACAGAGGGGTAGCTGTGGACGTGGTATACTTGGACAGAGGGGGGTGGCGGTGGACGTGGTAAATAGAGATGAGCGAATCGAACATGATGAAGTGGAATTCGTTCCGAAGATTTGGAAAAATTCGATTTGCGACGAATCCGAAGATTAGCAAAGTTCGGATGCACGAATCGAATTTTCCCAAAAATGGCGGCGACATGTGTGGCGACGGAGAAAATGGACAGAGAAGATGGGGCGGGGATCTCTGGGAAGGCGCGCTGACCCATAATGCATTCATGACATGTGATCGCATTAGCCAATCAGCAGCCAGCCAGCACTGTGTAATGGTGGAGCTATAAATCGCGGCCATCTTAGAATTCTCCATTAGCCTACGGTCATTCAAGAGAGACAGACCTGTGTGTATTAAGGGACAGAGTTAGGGCCACAGAGACTTTAGGGCCACAGAATCGTTACTCAGGGCCACAGAATCGTTACTCAGGGA